TCTCAGCAGTAACAAGCTAGGCTGCACGGGAGATGGAGCACTATGCTGTGCTTGATCACCTGTGTTGGCGTGCAGGGGAGACATTAGGTGTCATTAGACCCCAGATGTTTCCATAAAGAGAACCTGTCACCTCAATACAATATCACATAGGAGTTTGTTAGCTCCTATGTAATAGTAATAAAGTTAAGGGGGAAAAAATTAAAGTAATTAAAAATAATAAAATAAATATTTAAAAATTAAAACCAACCCCACCATTTGCATGAGAATAAACATGCGTGTGTGGGGCATTTATGTGTATGCACCAAACATGTTAGGTATCACCGCGAACGGAGTGAGAGCAATAATTCTCGGGCCATAATTCATGGTTAACGCTAAACTGATGACCTGTACAGGCTTTTAAAACATCACCTATGGACAATGTTGTGAAGCATAGTTTTTCGCCATTGCTGAGGTGCATGCAATTTTAACACTTGACATGTTTGGTATCTATTTACTCGATGTAACTGCATTTTGTATATGTAACCAAAAATGTGACCATGTGTCACATTGTTATGCCTGATAAAGGGATTGCATCTGGCTCCTGTCAGTCATTACGGTGCCACCCCCTCTGATGGTATCTGTGAGGGCCACACATCCCTTGTGACACCCCTGCCTGCAATACTGCCCCTACCCCTTACTAAAGCTCCAAACCCCCACATACCCCCCGCAATACAATTCCATACCCCCAATAATGTTTAAAATGTGCATATATATACGTTGTTGAATAGTGCACAAGTTGTTTTGTGTAATAAATGAAAATGTCTCAGAAATGAATCATTTTTGGGTCACGACTTAATGACCAAGGAAACATGTGGGTCCCGAGGTTACACAGGTTGAGAATCACTGCTCTATAATGTTGAAGACATTTCACTGCTTATCCAAGAAGCTTCAAATAGTTTTGAAACATCTTCAACATTACAAAAACAGTTCATTTCAATGCAACTAACTACTACCCGCTATCTTAAGCCAATGCTCCCAGTTTTCAACAATCAAGAATCATTTAAACATTTTACAGCCATAGCCAGGGTCTATAAATACTTAAAGTGGCACTAAACCCAGGAGATAGATGTTAAAAATGCATTCAGGTACCCTAATTATTAACAAAACTGTACTTTATCTCTGTATTACTCTGTAGATCCTCAAATATCTTTGAATTTGTGCTAACACTGTCCTTCTTTCTGAAGGGTGGCTACTTTTGTTCCCCCTGGACCCTGTGTGGACCACTCCAAGCTTACTCCCGTGATGGACTACAATCTCAATACAAATTAGTAAATTAAACAGGAGATTGTAGACCCTGACAGGAGTGAGCTTGGGAAGGTGGGTACTTCACAACACACATGGGGACCATGGGAAACAAAAGTAGCCACCCTACAGAAGGAAGGACAGTGTCAGCACAAATTCAGAGATGATTTGAGGATCTACAAGTGATACTCAAATAAGCTACATTTTTGTTAATAGTTAGGCTTAGGCTAGTTTAGTCTTACTTTAAATAAAGAGAGTCGGTGGTTACATTAAATTGTATTGTCTTGTAAATAATGCTCACACGTTTAGTTGACTATTACTAATTAAACTATATTACAAAAAACTTACCTTCTCCATGTTCTTCATCTCCAGCTGTAAAGGGAAAGCAAATATAAATAATTGGGTATGCAAGCACTTGTTTCTGTTTAAGGAAAGCAAAGGGGTTCATTTATTAAGGTAGTAGAGCAATTTACTTAGGAGCCACTGGGCACATTTTCTTCTCCCATGGGGGCCACTTGCCAAATTTCAACTTCAAACAAAATGTAACTATACATGGTACCATTGTTAATGTTAATGAGTGTGTTTATAATGTCAGTATATGTGTTTGTGATGGTCTCTTTGTATGCAATGTCAGGACATTTTTTAGTGTTGGTTTGTGTGCCCGTATTGTCAGGATTTCTGTGACTGATGTCGGTATGTGTCTTAATGTTTTTGTGTTTGTCATATCAGTATGTATACATGTGTAAATGTGTGCAGTGTCAGTATATGTGTGTGTTTTTTTTCCCACAGGTTTTAATTTTAAAAGGAGGACCAACAGTTTCACACATTCACTAATTTCTCACACAGAAATAAGTGCACACACAGAAATACACACACACAAAAATACGCACACAGAGAAATACACCCCCACACACAATGTGACTGGGGTTTCAACCTGGTCAGAAAAGTAAATTTAGCCTCTAAGCTGCTTAAATAGCAGACGTACTAAAGCGTTATGATGGGTAGGTCTTTCTTGCCAGTAAGGAAGCAGTGACACACCGACATCTTCAACAAGTGAAAGAGCAATGCTGTAGAAGGAGGTAAGCGCCTCTTAGTGATTAAGGATCCTGTTCCAACAGTATCACTAGTGTGACATGGCACTGCAAGCAAAATAAGACACTAGACCTGATGTGCTATATGCTAACTTATACTGCTAGGGAAGATAAATAGTGTCTACTCTCCATCACTGGCATAATCACAATAGCTTATTTGTGCATCCTGCTGCATGCACGTAGGCATGGTTGATCTTGGCTGTTCTTACAGCATAATATCATGGATGTACCCTATGTCCAGATAGTATTACAACTCTTCCCCCAGGCCCTGTTCATAATGAGGTACAGAATTTCTGTTTCAGGATGGGAGGTAGTATGGAAGGACTACTAGTACGGTGTTGTGACGGGATTTGTAGCCTCTCCATTCACAGACCCTGCCAAATGAAATAAATTAATGCAGCCTGGCGGGAGAAGACACCTGCGATTCAGAGAAGTTTTACAATATATTTGGGTGTAATCTAAAACATAGTCAGAAAAGTAAGCTCAACCTTTAAATGACAAATACTTATAGTGAAGCCTAAAGCTAGGCAATTCTAACTAAAAGAATTAATCAACTGCCTTCAGTGTCATCTGCATGTCAAGAATACATACTGTAAATTAATATAACCTGATGAAGTTACATTCCAAAGCAGATACATTGACGAATAGAGAAGCTTGGAAGGTGACATTTTGACATAGGTTTGTGACAGGTTTACTTTAAGGTATGACATGTATAATATCAGATAAAAGTGCAAAATACATTTTTGTAATAAATGTGTCACATCAGACTTATTTCAGAAATACCTCCCGGAGATGTCCAGATGTCTCAGTGGTGCACCCAGAGGCACCATACTGATGAATGCCAGGCCTATTGGCAAATACTGCTATCAAACTCCTAAAGGAGTATAGACTTAATTTGGCAAAGTGAAATTTCACTTTGCAAGGAGATTTTCCCTTAGATTAGTGAATGAGTGCTGACTTCAATCGTTAAATCACGTGCAAGCAAAAATCCTGTTTTTTAATTTTTCCTTGCACGTGATTGGATTTTATTTTCACCAAACTCCTTAAGCTATATGAAAATTCACTTTGTAAAGTGTGCATGCATGCTTTACTCCTATACTTAATCAACCCCAGTGTGACAGGGATAAGCATGGCAGGGCTGAACAAAATTTCAAATGTTTTGCCAGGCAACATAGTTCACAAATATTTATTTAAAACAGACCTTCCAGTACAATGTAAGGTTTGCATATAATATCCAGCTCCCCCATTTAAAAAACAAATTCCATTCTATTGCACGATCATTTTGATCAGATTTCGGCAGATCTGCTTTCTCCAGGATCTTGCTGGAAGGAATATGACATCATCCTCGCCTAGATGCCATGGACCAAGGACAGGGGTAAATCTATAAATCTAACATTTTTACAGCAAGATGTGCCTTAACTATGCCACTGCTTGCTATCTGGATTTCTGCTTTATATAAATAAAAAACATGTTATAGCATTAATTACATACAATATAAAAGTAATCAATCACGCAGATGACATAAATATAAGATTAAATGGCATACCCAGATAGCAAGTAATTGAGCTGCAAGTTTGAAAATGACTTGCTAAACTATTGCAGACTTGCCAAGCTTCACAATTTTGTTGCACAATTACAGCAAGTCTGCATTGCAAGTCTCCAGACCAGCGAGCTTGCAGAGCTCTTGCTAGGACCTGCAGGACTCTTGCTGTAGACTTGCTAAGCAAATTTGCTTCAAATTCAAAAAGTGTCAACTAGAACTTGTGCTGCAAGTGTTCTGCAAGTCTACAACTTGCCAGGAATGTGTGCAGCAAGTTAAAAAGAATTACAATTTAACCCTGCCACAAGTTTGTGGCAAGTTATCCTTGCTATCTGGGATAACAGGGTTAGTATTTTTTTTATATGTATAAATACATGTTAATTATATTTTGATCATTATAACTAGTTTAGAATAATTAATATATTTATAATATTTATTGTACAAATACTAAATTAGCACAGTTTAAGAAAAGTAAATCAAATATTTTTTATCTAATTGTAGTCTGTTGATAGATTTTTAAACCCTAACATTTTCAGGGAATCCTATGTCATGAATTATGTTTATTTGTAAAACAAAGATTATGTATATCTAGTAAACATAGACATCAGTTTAATGTATCATGTATGAACTTAAAAAAATAAAAAAATTGGCCCCTTAATTATTACCTTAGAAAGTTGTAACATTTTGGAATCTGATTTAGTTTTATTTTGCTCCCATGTGAAAACACTGTTGCTTGTCAATTTACCATGTAGGTAACCAGCACTGTCACATGGGGTTGGGGACAATGTCTTCAGCCCTCCAAAGACTCCAAGTTGCAACTCTAACCACTAGCTATTTTGTAAAAGTTGGAAATAGGGTTGCACAATTAAGGTAGTTTGTAATTGATGTTCCCTCTTCCAACTGGAGAGCTGGAGATTATGATATATTATTGCTGCAAAGGGAGTAAAGATGTAGCCCAAAATGGTAGTCTAAATTTCATATACCCTATCCTTAGAGTCCATTCTTTATAAACTAATTTGAAATGTATGGGTCTATTCACAAAGCTGCCGAAGGATCTAGCCATAGCTTCGGCTGATCCTTCGGCTAGCTCCGGCCCCAGGACCCCTTTGGTTCAGTAGAACCGAAGGGCTGCTGTACGGGCTATTCCCTATAGCCCCTACAGCTCCCGAAGTTGGCCAAGCGGCTCAGTCGAGCCGAAGGCATATGCTTCAGCTCGACTGAGCCGCGCTGAAAGCCGAAGCTGGCCGAATGGCCGTCCATTGGCCGGCCGACAGCCTGTTTCTGACAGCTGGGCAGAGCCAGCCGTCATCTCACAGCTGGCTCCGGCCACTTGCAGAGAGATCAGCGTCCCTGGTTACCAGCTAACGAGGGACGCTGTCATTACACACTGAAAGCGGCCTCTCCGTGGTCTCAGTGTGTATTGACAGATGTAATTTCTGGTTACCTGGTAACCAGGAACGCATCTGTCATTCCTCCACCGGACGCTCTGGAAATCTAATAGGCTCCCGGCCGCCCGGGAGAGAAACACTTTCTCACAGAAAGGTTCACTCTGCTCGATAGAGCAGAGTAGACCTTTCCCTGCTCGTTTTTTCTTTTTTTTCTTTTAAGGTCAGCCAACGGCTGAAAAAAAAGGAAAAAAAATCCCCATAGGAAAGCATAGCCAGATTCCTATTGGCTATTTCAATTTGCAATAGCCAATAGCAAACTAGCTATTGCACCCACCCACTGCTGCTGTCAATCAGCAGAGGGGGACCTGCAGTTCTCCATCAGGTCCCCGTCTGGTGATTAACAGCAGCAGAGGGCGGGTGCAATAGGTAGTTTGCTATTGGCTATTGAAAAGTGAAATAGCCAATAGGAATCTAGCTTATGCTTTTCTTATGGGAATGTCTTTTTTTTTTGACGGCAGCAGAACCGCCCAGCCAATAGAAAACAGTTGGGCGGAGCTAGCTGTCACTGCTAGCTCCGCACAATCGTTTTCTATTTTTTTTCTACTTTTTAAAGTATTTTTCTGCTCTGCTCGTTCCCACAGAGGGACCGAGCAGAGCAGCCGAGCCGAATGCTGCTCATGTTAGTAGACCAAATCAGAAGAGCAGCCTAGAGCAGTGATGGCAAACCTTTTTGAACCCGAGTGCCCAAACTGCGACGCAAAATCAATTTATTTACCTCAAAGTGCCAGCGCTGAAAATAAGTTTAGTACTGTATTGCAGTTCGGGCGCTAGGGTTTAAGAAACGTTCAACATCACTGCCTTAGGCCCCATTCACACCAAGCGACATACCTTACAAGCAGAGCCGGGATAGCACGACTGTTCGCGCGACCTTCACCGTCGGGCTGCATTCAAAAATAGAAACATTGCGCGACATCCGCGGGAAAAAAGGTCCTGCTGAAGCGACGGGCGACATGGAGCTGTACATTAGAACAGCTCCATTGAATAACATTGGCCAGCGACTTCTCGCGATATCGCGTGGCAAAAATGCAAGCAATAGCGGGATTTTACGCACAGTGTGAATGGGGCCTTAGGCAAAATAGGGAAACACGCATATTCAAACATTTATACACTTAATAAAACACATACACATGGAATGAAACACACACATCACGCCTTGTTTTGCTCTCAGGAGGGGAGGGGGAAAGGCTGTGCGGCTCTCACGGGGGATCAGAACATCCCGGATTGCCTCTGTAGTCGTGCCGGTCATAATCAGGAAGTGGCGCTGTGGCCTCTAAACAGGCAGATTAGACGGCCGCTCGCGGGGCCTCCCGGGGTCCTAGCGAGGAGGAAGCGGCCATCTAATCTGCCTGTTTAAAGACCGCCGCCGCTGCCTGATTGTGACTGGCCCGGATCGCGTACTGAGGCGATCCAGGTCGGTCGGATCTATTTCCATTGGTGGTCCCTTAACCTGGGCTCGCATGCTAGTAGAGAGGGCCCCGCATGCCCTCCCTGCCACGCGTGCCATAGGTTCGCCACCACTGGCCTAGGGTGATAACTCTGCTCTTCCATAGATAAAGTGCAGTTAGTGAGTATTGTCTCCCTAAGACAGAAATACAATTCTTACAGTTAAAACAGCTCCTATGTAAGCTTCAATATGCTGTGTGTAGTTCTGTTTTTTAGCTGTTTGCTGGAGTTGAGCCTTAAGATGAAACATAAAGAAAAGTCTCCACATAAAAATAATTTCAGGTATTATAGTTTAGCCTACCTTCTTCTGCACTGGCTTCTTGTTCATTATCTACCGATAAAAAAATAAAAACATATTTTGTAATAGATCTTCAATTACTGTACAGGGTAACACAACAGTCCCAAAGGACCATGTAAAGAAACCAATGCATTTGTATTTTACAGTAAGAGCACATACCCAAGAATAAATGATGATTTAATATTATTTACCCAGGGCATAGGCCGCCTTCCTTAGCTATCATTGCCATTGAAGAGTTTAGAGAATACACTGATCTTAAAATTAACTGCCAGAAATTAGTCCTTGCCATTATACATTCCTCAATATCAATGGCTTCTACCTTACCTCCAACACCTTTAAACACTGTATCCTCCTTTACATATCTGGGGATAGTGATACCAGAGATCCCTCTGGACTATATTACCCCGGTGTGTTGCAGTACCATTCATTTTAAAAGGCACCCAAGGGCACCAAGGCAATAGTGCATATCTATTTTTATTTGCATTTAGGTGCACAGTCGTTTCAAAATTATTGTACCTTCTTAATGCAATGAGATAAGTAGTATGTAGCACTGAGGTATGCTGGCAAACAGTCATATATGCTGCATTAGGTAGATTAGTCTGCATTATCCCAATCAAGTGAATTAAATGTGGTAAAAGTACAACATATGACAACTTTGTTTAAAATTAAAGTTGAAATACATATATGAGAGATGTTTTACCTGACAAAGGTGTGCATTTATGTACATCAAATCCTAAATTTGCACTACCCTGCTAGACCTGAAACTAGGTTGCTGACCTGATATTTATCTCCTGCAATTTTCTGGATTATTTAATTATTGGATATATTTTCTAGCTACCCAACTCCAGCACATGGTGGGTTGGGACAGTGAAGGTAAGGACTCGCTTGACTCTGGTATTATAGGGTCCTTCCTGGATAGTAGAGGTCCACTTCTCACCCTTGAGACCTCTCTGTATGGTAAAAAATACACCACCTTGCAAACTTTAAAAATAATGGGTAGAGTATGGTGTTCTGTTAAATGTTTAATGAGAAGGTGGGACACCCCCTTTTCGCTGACCAACGTGGGAGCCGCCACTTAAGTGACAGGAACATTGACAGGCCTTTGGCCACCTGCATTTATTAAAGTTGATTGCACCTGTGACACAGTATGGGCCCAACGTTGGCTAGCCTAAACTACTACAACTGGCCAGTATTGCAGGGATCTGAGGGGACATTTGGGACTAAGCCATTTAGTAACCCAGTATCCAGAGTCAGTGGGAATCTGTTCAGATAGCTCAGCACTGTATATTGCATTATTTAGACAATCACAGCTGCAGAGTGTATGAAAACCAAAATTGTGTTTGTTACATGCTGTTTATTTTTCTTTTGTTCTTTATGTTCTTTGGACCCTGTCTATGTGAGTTATCTTGGTTTGGGACCGAAGAACCCGCTTATTGCACTGGCTCCTTCAGGGTTAAGCGCTACTATGTAAAATTGTAGTTTTGTTTTATATTGTTTATAACCAACCTTTTTCTGTTACCTCTTCCTCCTGTATTTCCTCCTCTTCATTTGTCTCATGTACTGCAAATATAAATTCAGACAGGCATTTAATATTATACATTACTGATTCGTTGCTTTATTAAAGGGTATTTTAATTTTCCCTAATTACTTGGGAAAGTGAACTTACCCTTTAATAACATATAATGTGAAACACTACTTATGGTATAAATGGACACATTCATCATATAAAAAAAATTATATTTACCTTCTTCCTCCTCTTCTCTGTAAGAAAGAAAACAAAGCTTAGGAAAAAGAAAAATATTTCTATATAGTGCAGATTTACTGCCTATCTTTAAAGCAGACCTTTACACTCAAAAATCAAGTTCTACCAATGCATCCCTCTATGTATGATGATTAATAATAACATAGACAGGTGTCAGGTGTACAATGCTGTGATTTTGAAATGCACTCAGAGTCTCTCTCTCTCTCTTGTTTGTATCCTGTACTAGTATCTAGTTTGTTCAAGATGTCTTCATTTTCATTTATATCACCAACTTTAAGTGACAGCCACCTATTTGGGTGTTTTTTCTCCCCTTAGCATGTTGCTACCCTATCTGACTGTTGGTCCGCTCTGGACATTTTTTGCTGCCTGGATTGAACCCTCTGTATTCAACCTACTATTCTTACTTGGTTCCTCTGCATATCCTCCTTATTCCTTTCTTCTTCTCTCCATAGCCTTGTACCCTTTCCCCCTTTCTGTCTCCAAGTTTGTCCCTTATCCCTCTTTCTTCCTTTATGTCTTTAGGTGGCTAGGTCCCCTGAGGGGAGCTAATCCTCTTATTTTTTCTATCCAAAGCCAGCTTTTGCTGCGATAAGTTTGAATCTGTGAAGATATTTACAATTCCTTATTTTGTCGCACTACGTATTTTGCCTAAATGTCTTGCCTTTGTCTAATCTACACCCCAATATGCTTATTATGCTTGTATTTCTTTCTGAAAATGGATAAAAACCTGTTTGACTAAAATGATTGATTTTTCTGTTCTTCTACCTTCAATTGTTTAGGTTAGTGATAAGTTATCCCCTTAAGGACCAAAGACGGAATTATTCCGTCATGTTTGTCTGTGCCATAAGGAACCATGACGGAATAATTCCGTCATGGGTCCTTAAGGGTTTAAGCTTCCCTCATGCACTATATGAGAACATATATATGTCACATCAAATAAAGCCCCTTTTGTCCTTTGGCCCTGTGCAAAAAACACTAGGGATGCACCGATATATCGGCTGCCGAAAGATATCGGCCGAAAATTGCACTTTTGGCATAATGCCGAAAGTGCAATTTTCCTGCCAATACATTGGCGCATCCCTGATTTCTTTCCTACCCGCTGGGCGCTGCTCTATGTCGCAGCCGGGAGGAGAGAAACTGTGATAGCCGGCGGAGCACTGCGGGAGGAGAGCGCAGTGAGCGGCCGGTGTCTCCTCCCACACCGCTCAGCCGCCTATAACAGTGCGGCAGAGCGGTGTTTTTATGGTATGGTATGGTATGGTATTTTTATGGTATGTGTACTATATCCTGAATTATGAAAGAATGGGAGTGATCTACATCATCTCCTGTTCATTCATAGTTGTGGTTATAGTAAATAAACAAAGTACTCATGTTATCAATGAACAGGAACCCTCATAGAGGATTCCTTGACAAGGGTATTGTCTACCTTTTTTTTTAAGGGGTCAA